TAAACTAAATGAGTCTGTTCCTCTGTCTAGGAGTTGTCTGCTGTGTTTTGGCTTGATGAAGGATCAGCATCAATGTTAAGGTGGGGAGAGATCTTCCTCCTTCCAAAGAGAATGGGCGCAGGGAGCTCGTGAAAACATCTTTCTCTTGGAATCCATCATGCCACCTAACGTATGAAAAGGGAGGCAAGTGGCATGCCTTGTGAACGGGTGATTCATTATCATTATTTCCTGGCATATTGATTCTCCACTTCGACAAGAAGGTTCTGTCACGCCGTCAGCGGCGGTGACGGATGCAGCAGCACAACGCGGCGCCCGCTGAAACAAGCGGCTGTAGGGGAGCAGCCAGGCGTGGGCTGCTGATGCAGGGCGGTGTGGCTGTGTGCTGCTGCCTCTCTGCATCCCTGGAAGGGATGGCAGGCAGGCTCAGGGATGTTCTCACCGGGCTTTCCTCACAGAAGGAGGCATTGGAGTAGGGACAGAGTTGGAGAAGATGTCACTTGAGCTGTGGTGAATGGCTGTGCAAGATCATTCTTCCTCTGTCTTCACCTTTCTGACTCTTAACACGCAGGTAGTTGTCATGTAACCTTTGTTCTCTTTCATTTTATGCCCCCCAGTATTTTTTTCCTGGTTTGTGGCTGCCTTTCTGCTTTCTAGAGTCACTAAAACTATCCTTGTTTTAACTGGGATCAGTGCTTTGAAGGTTCACTGTTGAACCTGAGAGGCAACATCTCTCTTTGACCTTCCTTCCTGGGATCACAGGGATGTTACCCAGTGTCACGTCTCTGCAAACCATCACTTCTGAGCTTGGTTCCCCCTTGCCAAGCCACCTTTTCCTGAATTATGTGACAGAGCATCTCTCCTCCCTGCGTGGCTCAGTTCGGGGTCTTCTCCATTATTTTCCATGCACCAATGGAGACGGACATGGGGCACCAGGTGAAACCTCTCAAAAGCATGCTGTCTTGCCAGGGAGGGTTAAGCCAGAAACTTATTCTGAGCATCAGTTCTTCCAAGAACCTACCATGGTGGGGAAAAATGCGTTTTAGCCTTGAACTACGGCTGTGTTTTTCTGCAGAGAGATGAAGCTCATGTACGAAACAGCATTTTTCATTTACAAAGGTGTTTGCTCTGACTCTGCAAAACAATCCTTAAACTTAGAATGGCTAAATTATCTTCGCTGCTTCTCTGCAGCTCTGTTACGCTTCTATCAAAGCTCACAAAAATGTGGATTTTAATATCCCCAGACTCCCATATTTCCTGAAGTGCTCGTATTTGGATTTGTGCTCATCCATATTTATCCTTCTTCCACCTGCAAGAACCATAGCAGAGCTGCCCTATCTCTGCATCAACATTTCCTGAGCTGAGCAGGACAGGCAGCAGTAGCTGTCTGCAAGGTCTGCTTTGTCTGAGAAGAGCCAGTGTTTGCTCCTCAGAGTGAGAGGAGGGGTCTGGGGGGTGGGGGAGGACAGTTGGAGACTTGTGATGAGATCCATCACCTCTCTATTTTTTTTTTTTTTCCCCAGCCTCACTTAACATCCTTCAGTAAAAATGATGCTCAAACATCTAGAGGAGTGAAGAATAGACAAGAAGTGTCCTCTGTGCTTATCTGTGGTGTGTGGGTTTGGAATGGGTCTGACACTGTTGAAAAAATCAGGACAAGCAAAACCCTCGATGGCTTTTTAAGCACTTGAATAGAACAAGGTGTAAACCAAAGTTTTTTATGTAACCTACTAACAATCCATGGCTGCCCACCTCGCTCTGGGTGCTGTTGGTCACTGTATTTGAAGGAGGCTCCGTCCTGTGTGCGGAGGAACAGAGCAAGGCTTTTCTTATGAACCCATGTCTGACTTTGCCAGGGTCTTTGTGGCAAAGGAATGCTGTTGGACAGAGGCTGTGGCAACTGTAGGTGACTTGAAGTAGCCTAGTGTGAGTCTTCAGCCTGCTGTCCCAGGTAGAGGCAGAGGATGCGAGCAGGAGCTTTGTGTGTACCTGCAGGACCCTGAGCTGCCTCTTGTCTGCTCAAAGCTGCCTGTCAGAGTCTGTCATCTTCTTTTCATCTTGATTTATCATCCAGCATAACTAGGTTTCAGAGTTTCATTTTGGGGCTTGCTTCCTCCTAGGGACAGGCAGATAAATCTGGCAGGTGAATGTTTTAGCTCTCCAGTTCCAGGAGTGAGAAACTACTCTGCTGCGAGGAGGGAGAGAAAACACAACCGTTGGGGCAGGGCTGCTCTTGTCTTCTCTGGGGCTGGAACTGTGCAGGGGAGGTTTCCACTTTACCCAGCACTACCTCTCCCAAGGATTGTGCGTCTGCAGAGCACCAGTGCTAGGGCAGGAGGAGCACGGGTTGCCTGTTTGGAAGCAGTACCAGTTTAGATCTTAGTTTTGGATCATCACTCCTTGTAACTTTAGCACGTTTAATTTCTGAAAGAAGTAGTTGAGGAAAATCAAATGTTATGAATTGTAGCTGCTGAAGACAAAGATTTCTGTCTATCAGGGGTATCTACAGGAATTCTGTTCCTTCAGTGCTCCCTGCCAGGAAGGCAGGTGTCAGGGCAGAGAGCCTGCGGGTCTCTCACTGAGGAGGTGCCCTGAGGATGGGGTGCCAGCCTGGAAGTTCCCCTGAACTGGTGGTTAGCGCTGGTGCAGAAAGCGGGGTTTTGAGCCATTGGCAAGAGTGGGTCTGGGGGATGGAAACAGCCTGCTCTTCACTCTGCTGAGCAGAGCAGGCAGAGATCCGTCTAGTGTGCAGGAGAAGAGGTGCCGGACTTCTGCAGTTCCATCTAGTCTGGACGCAGGACCAGCTCAGGATTGGGCCGCGGAGGCTGAGCACCTCTCCCAAGTGAAAAAGAAAGGAGAGATCTCCGTGTACTTCCAGAGCTGCCTTACCTGGTTTGTCTTATTGCTCAGGGCACCTTCTCCTCTTCCCTGTAGCCTCTGCAGCCCCGGGGGGTGCAGTCAATGTCACGTCACCTGGAACACAACCCTTTCTGCCTATCTTGCTGTAGCAGATATGGCTGGCAAGCATCTCCCCTCTGGGGAGCAATAGGAGGGGCACAACAACCGTACCTGTGTTCACAGTGCCCCTCACTTGCTGGCTTGAGTGAAGGCGAGGGGAATTGCTCTCCCCGAGAGCCATGAGCCGTTGCTTTCCGTAACCCTCGGTGACTGCTCTTGGAGAAGCGTATATTGCCCAGCAGTCCCAAAGTGACCTGCCCCTCGTGACGCCGTGAAGGAATGGAGCTGCTGTCATCAGTCCGGTGACTTGGCCTGTCACTGGGAAACAGTTGGAAGCAAGAGGTTTCCTGAGGCAGCACGAGATGAGATGCGGCGCGTGGCTTGGTCAGGTCTCAGCACGAGGCTGGCGTTTGCCACAGGAAGGAGGGTTGCTGTGAGAGCAGAAACTGGGTTTCGGCAAGTGCTGGGGGTGCGAGGGAGGCAGTGTTCGGTTAAGGTTAATCTGGTCTCGCTGGGAACAGAAGATGAACAAACTGGTCTGTAACTGTCTTCCCTGGTCCTGTCCCTGGCAGGGTTCCCCATTCCCAGCTGCCTGCGTCAGGCGGAGCGGTACCAGTCAGTGAGCAGGCCAGCGTCCCTATCACCCCACGGCGAGCCTGCGCAGCTCACAGCCTCGGTGGCCAGCCTCCTGTGGGCTTGGCCGCGGGGCTGTGCTCTGCTGTTTAATTCCTCTGTATTTATATTCATGACACTCAGAGTTGTCAATAGTAGTAATCTCAGCATTTTGGTTTTTTCATTCCCTGGTAATTCACTGCTCTGCTCCGATGCCTCGGACCGGTGCAGGAGACAGCTCTCTGCAAGCCACAGTGGCCCACCCTTTGCCAGCACCCGGCTGTAAATCTTGCTGCTTGCTGTCCTGCCAGGCAGGTTTTTAGTTTTTTTTTTTTTTCCCCCTGTTCCTTGTTAACTCCCGCATCTGATGATCATCTTTCCCAGGTTGATGTGATTTCTGTGACACCAGAATTAGTTTTCTGCTGGTTTTATGTGCCATGCTAGGAACAACAGTCTAGCAGTAACTGCTTCTGGCTCAAATTTCCACCAGCGGAGTAAATAAGGGCATTAGCCCAATCTCCTCGATTCATTCTCGTCCGTAGCACGTTGCTTTTTGTGATAAGCTTTGTAAAACGTTGTTAGGCTTTTCCCTGACATAAGTGAAGGGTAGATGAGCAGACTTTGTGCCTAGAAGTGATGAATTTTAATAGCAGTCTTTCAGTGCTGCTTTAGTCCCTTCCAGACTGGCTTCTCCACCCTGGGATTAACTCCAGACAGCCTGTGCCTCCTGCCTGGGAAATGGCTGGCTAGTTCTTGCTCTATCGTGCTTGACAGATCACGGGGACAGGAAAGCTTGGGAGTAGCTGTTGCTCCCAGGCATATCTGCCTGTACACGTAGGTGAGGTCTTGGAAACATTAGTCCAGCTGCAAAAGTGTAGGAATATTACTGCGGTTGCCTAGTGTGGAAGGTGTCCCTGCCCATGTCAGGGTTGGAACTGGATGATTTTTAAGGTCATTTCCAACCCAAACCGTTCTGTGATTCTATGACTGCAGCCAGGTTTAACCTTTCCTTCCTTTAGAGGTCAAAGCTCAAACATCTCTCAGCCATCGATAAATGGTGATCCTTGGCCAAGGTGCATGGCAGAAGCATCCATGGACTGAGACCCTGGAGGGTGATGGGCTCAGCCGGCTGCGTTAGCGTCACGCTTCTGAAGGGCCCAGAGCAACTGCTCGTGCTGGCAGGTGGGGAGGGTGAGTCCCCGTGGGAAGGAGACCAGAGGGAGATGCTTCCCAAAGGCCGGCCTGAGCTCGTTCCTCTGATGAGCACTGAAAGCAAGTCGTGATTAATTCCTGCACACCTCGCCTTTGATGTTCCACCTTCTCCAGAGATAAGGAGATGCTCCTGTGGAGCAGGAGAGAGAGCCGGTGCCGATGGGAGGAGGGTTGTGGGGGTTGCAGACCTGGGCTTGACCTGAAACCTTCTCTCTCTCCAGCTTTCATCCTCATGATTATTCTGGCCCTCATCCGCATCAGCAGAGGCCAAGCTGAAGGTCACCCGTCCATGGCCCAGCTGTCGGGCATCCGCAACCTCTTTGGGGTGTGCGTCTACTCCTTCATGTGCCAGCACTCCCTGCCATCCCTCATCACACCCATCTCCAAGAAGAAGCATGTCAACAAGCTTGTGCTGCTCGATTACATCCTGATCCTGGCTTTCTACAGCCTCCTGTCCTTCACTGCCATTTACTGCTTCCGCAACGACACCCTCATGGACATGTACACGCTCAACTTCACCAACTGCCAGATCATCAACGTTGCCTTCATTCGTTACTTCCTCGGCCTCTTCCCCGTCTTCACCATCAGCACCAACTTCCCCATCATCGCAGTGACCCTGCGCAACAACTGGAAGACCCTTTTCCACAGAGAGGGGGGGACCTACCCGTGGGTTGTGGATAGGATTGTCTTCCCTGCCATCACGCTGATTCCCCCGGTGCTGGTGGCTTTCTGCACCCACGATCTGGAGTCCTTGGTGGGGATCACGGGAGCCTATGCTGGGAACGGGATCCAGTATCTCATTCCGGCTTTTCTTGCGTACTGCAGTCGGAAGGACACTCAGCTGGTCTTCGGCAGCGGGACGGTTAACAAGCACCTCTCCCCTTTCCGGCACACCTTCTGGATTGTGTTCGTGCTCATATGGGGCTTTTCTTGCTTTGTGTTTGTGACTGCAAACATTGTCCTGAGCGAGTCAAAGCTCTGATGGGGGGTAGCAGCGTGCTCCCCCCTGGGGTCCAGAGACTTCAGCATTTTGTCTCCCACTCTGGGACTGCGGAGTTGGGAGAGAGGCAGTGTGAAGGGAAGCTTTCAGGCCGTTGGCTTGGTGGCACAGGTTGGACCAGGACACAGGCTTTCTTCACTCCATTTTGGGTGCGGATGGAGTGGACTCAGCCTGGTCACAATCCTGGTTCTCAGACCTGCTGGACAAAGCCATGGGGGCTGAGCCCTCGGCAGCCTGCACAGATTAACCAGTGTCCAGCCATTTCTGCCTTCAGCTCTACTGGAGCATCACTCTCCGTCCCTGCAGCGGCTCTCCGTGCACTGCAGGTCTCGGCACACGGGAGAGCAGACAGCCTTGGCTGCTCGCTACGCTAATCGGCGCAGTGTCCCTTCTCCCAAAGGCCGGGGTGTGCTGTGCAGAATCTCGCAGGAGTTTGGGGGGAAGTGAGTCTCTTTTTTTTTCTGATGAGACCCCTTCAAACCAACCTCACGTGCCGGTTGAGGGAAGAAATTAGGGTGGGAATAGCCCTAATGGGGAAGAAAATAATTTTGTGCTGTTACATTTTCTCTTTTTATAGAGGTGTTACCAGTTTGTGCACCGCGGATCGCCTGGGATCTGGGCTCTGTTGCTTAGAGCTCCATTTCTCCAGCCCAGGAGTTTACATTCACACGTCTCATCCTCTTCTCCTGCGCTCTGGCAGCCCCAGACAGACAGACCAGTGCCCCTAGGCATGCAGGGGTACAGCTCTTCGCCCCCGGGAAGGGCAACGCAGCCGTGCTTCCCTCCGCTCCTGCGTGCAGCTGGCAGAGCCCTTCTCCCTTTCTCACCTCTGCACGGGGCTGGTACAACCAGCCAGACCCTGACTCCTCTGGACAGGATTCGTGGGAGCTGGGGAGGTGCTAATTACCCAGTCCTGACACGCGTGAGGCCTGCAAGAGCTCTGGCTGTGCACGCTGATGCGTTTCCAGCCTCCTGCGCTGGGTAATTAGCCTTGAAACGAGGTGGGTGTTAACTCCGGGGAACAGGCTGGTGCCAGGAGGACGCGGAGTGCCTGGGCTCAGCCCTGCCTGTGGGAGCAGAGCTCCGGAGTGCTCTGGGGGGACAAAAACTGCAACCCTGCCAGAACAGGGCTTGAACCCTGTCCTTTCTGCACAGGGTTAGGGTGGGCTTTGGGCTGGTCCTGCTCAGCGTAGCTGAGAATTGGGCTGCCAGTGCTCTAGGGGAGTCTCTGCTTCTGAGGCAGCACCGTGCTGTCACCAACGGCACCCGGTCCTGTGCTCTGAGGCCTTTGGGCAAAGCTGGTACTGGTTTTCCTAACAAAAGCAAGAACTCTAAAAAGTTTTCACCTGAACTGTTTTAAATCCCCCTGATCAAGGCAGGTTCAAAGCCAGGTGCATGTCACTCCTGTTAGATCCTCTTGCCCCCCGCGCTTGCTGCGGCATGAAGTGTCACCGCTCGCTGAAGCAAGCTTTGAACTGCAGCTCTTTTTAATCAAGCTCCGTTTTCAAGTAGGACTTGCTGGTTTCCATACGACCTGAAGTGCTCCTCCTGGGGGAATATGCAAGTACCTGGAGCCGTATAAAAACACTTCATGGCTTTTAAAGCAAAACCCTGCTCCTCTCGAGCCTGAGCACCACCGCCATGTCCTTGCCGAGCTGCTTGGAGAGGATCCGGGGTGGGGGGGGACTGCTTGCCTCCTCTCCAGCTTGATCCTAAACAGGTGTTGGCAGCGCTGGTTAGTGGGTTTAAACATCCCCCAGTGCTCCGGGGAGGCTGATGTGGCATCTTCAGTGCCAAATCGACGCGGTGTTTTGCAGGTAACTGCTGCTGGCGTCTCCTTTAGGAAGAGGTAGGTTGGGGGGCAGCTGGGAGCTGGGCAGAGCCGGAGGGAGGAATTTAATGCTGATGGAATGAGGCTTTGGAAAGCTGGAGCGGCTGAAGGGGCAGTTCCCCTGCACGGCTGTGGGTTTATGGAGGGGGCTGAGGCCTTTCCCA